CGTTCATTTTGAATTTTTATTTGTTGTAAATCTGATTGAGTTTTATGTAAAAGCTATACATAAAGAACAAAATAAAAACAAAAGATATTTTTCATTAGAATTTAAAAATATACATTTTCATTATAACGTCTTTGAGAATCAATTTTTTCTTTAAGATTTGTTAAAGTTTCATTTTGTTTTTGTAAAAGTGCATAATCAACAAGAATCTATACAAAATAAAATTGAATAGAAAAAAAATTTGAAAATTTTTATTTACATCAAATAGACTTTTTGATGAACGATAAATGGCAAGAATTGATGCACTGTTCGGATCAGTTTCAATTATACGTAATTCATCATCAGTAAGTGTTACTAAAAAAAAACAAATTTGAATATTTTCATCGAAATTTAAACAAATCAGCAAATTCTCTTTTTCCGACGGTAGAAGAAAGATTCAAATGTTTATTCTTATGAAAGAAATAAACAAAAATTAATTTTTTATGTAATCCAGAGGAATATTTACATTTTCGATTAAGTTTTATTATTGAATTTCAACCTGAAAATTACCCAGCACAAAGTTCTTTTTAAAATAGTATACGTAAAAAATGTCAAGATCTTCAGATGTAGTTCATTATAAATATAAATTTTCACAATTTCAGTCAAAATCGATGACTGTTACTAGTGAACTTCTCTCATAACAAAATGCAATTAAGAATTAGAAAATAACATCATTTTTTGTTTTTACAAACTACAGAGCAGAGTTATATTACTTGAAGACGGAAAGATAGTTAGCAAGAGTGTTGATGTATAGGAGTAAAAATTTAAACTCTTCTGGAATAATACTGTGATAGACGCTGGTCAAATATTATCACAGACTAAAAAATTTGTAATTTATTCCTTTGTGATTATTCTCATGAATTCTATTTAATGTATAAAATAAATATTTAAGTTAACAAACATAAAATTTACATTTATCAGGTATTTGAGATCGACATGTTTGAGTAATATCTTGAATTCGTTGTTCAAGTTCTTTTTTATCTAAATTAATTTAATTAATGATAATAAAAAAAAAATATATATATATATCGAATTTTTAGTTTTATTTTACTTTTATCATTAATTTCAATTTTTTGTTCATATTTAATAATAAGTTGTTGAAAAGTATTTAATTGTTCATCTTTTTTATTTGATTCATTCTAAATATTTTATTTTATTGTTAATATATTTTCTTCAATTAAATTTACTTTTAATAATTGTAATTCATGTTTATGTCTTTCTATTAAATTTTCTTGTGTTTGTTCAAGTTCTATAATACGTTGTTTCAACTAAAAATAAAAAATAATATTTAAAAAAAAAGAAAAATAATATTTTAATCATACATCATCAAATTCATGACGATAATCATTTGTTTGTTGTTGAATAGGTATTAAATGTTGATTTTGTATTTGATTTTGAATTATTAAATTTTGTCGATTTAATTCATCGATTTGTAAACGTGAGTCTTCATAATTTTGAGTTAATTGATATAATTTTTTTTCTAATAAATTTTTTTCTTCTTTAAGTATGGTTACATGTATTGTACTTGCACTTTTTTCTGCCTAGAATTTTTTTTTTTTTGTAAAACAATAACAATAAAAAGAAAAAAAAAACAAACTTCAGCAGCAAGTTTTTCTTGTCTTAATTTTTGATTATTAACAAATAATTCATCTCTTTCATTACGAAGTTGTTTTAAACTTTGATTAAGTGCATTTTTTTGTACTAAATTAATTAAAATATAGAACAAACAAATAAAAGAATGAGATAAGTTAGTAAAATAATTACATATAGCATCAGTAAGTAATTTTTCTTTAGCAATTAACTCAGTTCGAAGTAGAGCACGTTCATTAAATATTTGTGAAATATCATTTTGAAATGTTTCCTAAAATAATTTATCAATAAAAATAAAATGTTTTGTTTTGTTTTTCGAAATATTTACAGCAAGATCTGACATATTAGATACAATTAATTAGAATAAATATTGTAAACAGTAAGATTAATTCAAAATAACAATGAATGAACAAAAAAAATCGAAACGGGTAAGTTATCGTCGTTCTACGTTGAATAATCTTTTCTCCAGTCTATACTATGTTCATAAGAGGACGCCACTTGGTGATCGTAAAAAAAACCTTATCTCGAAAGGATTATTGTACTCAAGACTTTTTTTTATGACAGAAATCAATGAGAAATACTTGGACTTTTCGTATTTCTGTTATATATAAGTCAGATCAACATTTTTTGATTCTAATCAAAAAGAAAATCAATTCTTATACCAAACTTAATGGAATTCTTGTTAGCATAGAGCGTAAAATTATTTTTTTTTTTGTATTTTCAAAGTTTGAGCTGATCTGTTTTCTATTGTCTATAAGTTGATAACATTTTATTGGTAATATTGACTTTGTTGAATAGTCAATTAATTATGAGTACAGAAAAACTATGTTAGTTTCAATTGAGTCGGAACTATGATCGAGAATCAATTTGCTCATGTTTAATTTAGAAATTGACGGAAAAAAGAAAACATATGCTTGTCATTAATGAAAGTCACGACATATTTATAAACATAGCAAACATTAACAAATTGAATAAATACATCTTAATAGATTAGCTAATGAATGTCAAAGTATATTTTTAAGTCTAATGACTTATATCGTTTTATTTCAATTATATAAAGTTGAAATTTTATATTTATTCGCACCGAATTCTTGTATATTCTCTATAAGACGAAAAAAAAAATGCATTATACAGTATTCAAAATAAATTATATCACAACAAAAAAAAAAAAAAAGAAAAGAAAAAATACATATCTACAATATTAATAGAAAAATCAAGATGAAAATATAATAAATAGATATAATAACTAATGAATAATCCAAAGAAAGAATTGACCAAATGAGATAAAAAAACAAATAAAAAAAAAAAAGTTTTCTTTTTTTTTATCAGTTATAATAATGGTAAATTATCTAATGGACATTGAATTGAAAATTCTTTTAAATATGTTTCAATACAATTTAAATGAAATATATGTGTACATGGTAATAATTTAAGTTGTTGTCCATGTTGATATTTTTCCATACATATTGTACATTGATCATCTAAATGTTTATCATTAACATCAATTGTTGATAATGTATCTAATATATTTATATTAACTGTTTTTCGTAGTACACGTTCATCAAGTCTTAATAACATTTCATAATCTTCTGGTGAACTAAATAAAAATAAATAAAGATAAAAAAACAAACAAACAAACAAACAATATCAATAATTACAGATCACGATTTTGCATTTCAAGAAGAAAATCAATCATAGCATCATCAAATGAAGATTCATCAGGAATATTATATTCATTTAATGTATATTCACGATATCGATATGTACTTAAATTTATTTGAGATTCATCAATAAATAGATCATGATTAGATTTTAATTGTCGATTTTTATTTAATGATGTTGAAAAATATCTATATGATGAATTATATAAATGACGATGTTCATATGCAATAGATCGAAGTGTTTCAAGAGAATATAATGGTACTGATTCTTGTGATGGAAGAAAATGATAATTTGGTTCATCAAGTATAACTTTTTTAGCTAAACGATGATGTATATATAAATGTTTATTATGTGATTTTATTTTAATTGATTTTGCATGTTTTGTTTTAATCTGACGTTGTGCATTCATCTTTTTATTTGAACGTTTTGATCGTTGATAACGTTTATCTTGTAAATGTTCAATAAAACCAAATTGTTTACTAGTAACACGATTTTTAATATATGATTCATCATTATTATCATCATTATCATAAAAATATGATGATTCATCTTCACTATCAGTTGGACAAATAAATTCATTAAAATAATTCATATCATCGTCATCTTTATCTAAGAAATTTTCATCGGAAACTTCAGCAAAACTGAATGAAGAACAAAAAAAAAAAGAACAATTCTTTTATTAAAATAATTATATCATTTATATATATTATAAACTACCTCGTATTTGTTGGAAATAATAATGATGCTGAAGATGGAGATGAAGGTATAAAAATATAATCACTCAAAACACTTGCTGGTTCACTACTATTACTATTTGATCTGCTACGATGAGGTGAAATATTTCTTGTTGCTGTAGTCACGAAGTCTGATTGATTAATAGCACCAAATGATGGACAAACAGGAAATATATCAGTCTCAATAATTGTCCTCATATTTTTTGTTTTAAACAAATCTGGAAGAAAAATATTTATAATGATAAAATCTTCTTAGATAAATGAATGTCACTCATTTATTTGTGAATATGAGCGAATCAGGTGGTTGCATATACATATAGAATGGTATAACAGTATGCAAACGCAAGAGAAAGAGATGAGTCAGAATCGATGAATTTTTCTTCCAAGTAAAATATTTATGTTATTTTTCTTCTCTTTCATTTAGTCTCTATTTTGTTCTTTTTCAGAATCACAAGAAGAAAAAAACGTTTTTCTTTTTTGTTGTACAGTCAACAAAGCACATGAATGGACTAATTGAAAGAGAAAAAAAAAAAGACGTAAGAATAAAGATACCATAATAATTGAAAACAAGAAAGAAACGAAATAAAAACAAAAAAGAAAAAAAGAAAAAAAAAAAAAAAGAGGACCGGTTATATAAACGCATACGTATAAACATGAAATTTTTTAACTGCTAATGCAGACTAACATTGAAAATGAAATTGACAAAAAACAAAACAATAACAAACGACTGTACATGACAAAGAAAAAATATTTTTTTTGTTTTCAAAGATTTATGTGAATGATAATCTTCACCATAAGAGAATTATCTACAAAATATTTTCTTTTCATTTACTAAAGCTAAAATAGAAAAGAAACAATTCACTATCAAAGAAATTCACCGGCAAGAAAAAAGAGAAAAAAAGAAACAATTTTAATACTTTTAGATAGATAGGATAGTATATATAAATATACAAACAAAACAAAAAGAAGTTAATCAGATCAGGGTATATAAGAAGAAGTCGTCGTTGGGATAGCTAATTGTTGAGCAAGTAAAGGACTATTATTATAATGAAATAATGATGATGTTGGTGGTGGATGATAATGCGATGGACAAAAATATTGTTGTTGCATATGATGATGATGATGATGATGAACATCACAATCCATTTCATTTTCTTCATCATCAATATTTGCTAATGCTTCTGATGATGATGATGATGAAGATTTATTTTGATTTGAATATTGATAATTTAATGATGATACTAATAATGGATTTTGTTGATGTTCTTCTTGAATCATATGAAGACCAGCAGAATTTGTTGGTGATGAAACAGCTGAAACAAAAAAAAAACATTTTTTATATGCGTGTATTTTTAAAATAAAAATTTTCGTTTTGTTTTCTTACCAGCTGCTCGTCGAATTATTGGTGAATCAGTATTATTTGTCGGATGCTAAAAAATGTAATCAAATGAGAATATAAGTTTTTCTTTTGTGTAATTTTTAAATATACTTTTTGTACTTGTTTTTGAAGTTTTTGTAATTCTTGTAAACTTGATCCAGCTAAATCATCATCACTTGTTTTAAAATTAACAGCATTATTATATAAACGTTCAAAATATGCTCGTGTTGTAGCATTTATAAAATTTGAACTTGTATCACTTGCACGACGTGATGATAAACCACGTTCTTTAGTTGCTTCACGAGTAGCACGTCGAGTTTTACAATTAACTAATAAACCTTGTTCACAAACCGTATGACGTTTACCACGATTGAGATATCTGAAAAATAAGACAAATAAGTCAATAAAACAAAAAAAAATTTTTTTCATTAAACAAACCTTGCAAGAGCTTCATTATCATCATCATCATCATCATTATGATTCCGTTGATCTTTATCTTCGTCTTCTTCAACTTCATGTGGAGTAATGGAAAATGTTGGCGGTGTCATTGGTGCACCACGTGTTATACTTCCTCGAGATGATCGCTAGAAAATGATTAAATAATGTATTGTTAATTATTTGAAATTTCTTTTTTTTTTTTCTTCTTTACATTAGATAAAGGAGACTGTGTATGTGTTGGATGTACAGCACCAAAAGTATTTGAACCGGTTGCACCCGATTGTAATTGAAATAGAAGAAGATGAGCACCACTATCACTGGCTCGTCGACTCATATCTATAGAAAATGAATTAGGATTATAGTCGTTCGTTTTTTTTTTGTTATTGTTTTAAAGTGTAACGTACTAAAATTATGACAAATCGGTGGTGAAAGCCAATTATTATCTTGTTTTTGATGATCAGATACATCCAATGTAGTATTTATCACAGGAGAATGCGTAGATAAACCATTATAACTTGTTGAATGTGTATCTCGTTGATGATAAAACAATGATGCTGGTGATAATGGAAAACATTCATCATCATTATCACATGGTCGATTAATTTCATAGTCTTGTCGTTGTTGAAGATTTGTAAGTCGATTTGATAAAATTGATGGTTCAATATTTGCTGATTGATGCGCAAAACGTACTTTTGAAGCAAGTGTTGGAATAGGTCCACCATGTACAAGTAAATCAGGTCGACCGATTGTATGTCGTCGTAAACCACGTGTATGAGTTAAATGTTCATGTAATTGTGGTGATGTTACTGTATTTTGTGCATTACCATTATTATTATCATCATCATCTTCATCATAACTATCAAGATCATCTATACGAATTTCTGGTTCTTGTCGATGATAAACAACTTGTTTTGATATACATTGAAGATCACATGGATCTAATTGTGGACGTATTGATTCAGCCTAATGTAAGAAAAGAAAAACATATTACTTCTTTTTCTTTAAGTTTAATTTTTTTTTACTGTATTTGGAGCTGAATAAACTAATTCAGTATTATTATTATCAAATATTAATGGTGCTGTTGAACGTCTTGCTACATCCGAATTATTTAAATTATCTACATTGTCATTAAATACTGATTCAATTGGAATGTTAGAATCTAAAAAAAAAATAACAAAATATTAAAAATGAAAATATTTCATTTGTTTCTTTTTTTTGTTTTTTGTCTTGTCTTGTTTTATCTTACTTTCAATTTGACATGTTTGTTGAAATTTTTCTAATAATAAATGCCATATAGCAGCATCACTATCATAAGAATTTCCATTGACTGATTTTAATATTTGTGTACGATTATAACCAAGTGATTCAGCATGATCAAGTATAGCATTTGTTAATTGACAATTTGGTATTGATTGCGTTTGACATGTTATATCAGATGCATCTGAATTGTCTGACATAAACCATGGATGTTTTTTTATGTCATTTATTGTATAACGTTGATTAGGATCAACAGTTAACATATGACTAATTATTGAACTACAATCTGAATAAAAAAAAAAACAAACGATTATGTTTTTACAAATAGAAAACAAAGAAAAAAAAGAAATATCAACCTGCACTAATGTAAAATGGTAAACGATATTGTCCCGCAAGCACATGTTTTCGTAATTCAGCAAGATTATTACTATCGAATGGTAAATGACCACAAACAAATACATAAAGTAAAACACCGAGAGACTAAAATTTAAATTAAAAAAAAAGAAAAAGAATCATTTAAAATTTTAATTGATTTTTCTTTTTTTTCTTTTATTACCCAAACATCAACTTTTTCAGGTGAATATGGAAGACATTGAAAGAGTTCAGGAGCTGCATAACTAATTTAAATCAATAAATTATTAAATTAATAATTTTTTTTTGTGTTAAGAAACAAAATTTCTTACGGTGGTGAACCACAAAATGTTTGTAATTTGGAATCAGGATAAAATACATTAGCAAAACCAAAATCTTCAATAGAAAAATACAATTAAATCATATGGAATATTTTTTTTCATGTATTCAAATTCAATGTCAGGATGATTTGTCACAATAGTAGTATAATTAGAAGATCGTGGGTAATAGGACAATTCTCAACGATCTTGGAGAAAATCTATAAGATATAGTGTAAATGGTGGTAATTATAATTTTTATATTTTTCTTTCTTCCGGTGAGTGACGCTCAGTTTGACATACTTTTCGTTATGCTACTAGGTCACGCATAACTCATTGTATGAGATATTAGTTTTGAAGTAACTTGAAGGAGCCTCAAGGGTATACGTGGGTATGAGTGGAGGTACACAAAAGATTCTTGTTTGCACGAGCATTCACCGTTAAACATATATTGGACGAATTATTCATACACTTAGACTTTGTATGATTTTGTTTTTTCGATTTCAAACTAACAAGCAATTTATTCTTTTCTATATAAATATTATTAATATAAAATTTCTTATATCTAGTTTCATGAAATTGTATGTCGTTGTGTACTAAAGAACTACTCTTCAATAGACATTCTATCTTATATTGCATCTCAATTACACACATTGATAAAAAAAAAAGAAATTTTTAATGATAAGTTCAAAGCACAACTGTTCGAAAAAAAAAAGAACTATTGTACTCATGTGTAATAATAATTACGATCATGATCAAAAGAAATTTTTCATTTTACTACAACTATTTGTTAAATATAGAATTTACGTAAAAATAAAATTTTTTTTTTTTGTTTTTTTAATAAATATTTTAGTTTATATCAAAGAAAAGAAAAATCTATAATTAAAAATCGAATCATATCTAGTTAGTAAGTTAAATATGAATGTATTTTAATCGTCATTTCTCGTATTTTCTTATCTATCTCAAATACAAAATTTTCGTTATTTCTATTCTTTACAGTAATTTGAGAACGGTAACAGATTGTGTGCACTTATACTTCAAGTACAAAAAAACATTGATAAATACCTGCTACTTTTATATTACCGCGACCATCCAATAGTAAATTTTCAGCTTTTAAGTCACCTATTGAATTAAAATCAAATATATATTCAACAAAAAAAAAAAAGAAAAAGAAGAATAAAAGAGAATTTTTTTTTTCAATTACTTACGATGAACCTAAAATGAAAAAAAATAAATATTATATAATAATTTCATAGAAAATATTATGATTTTACTTACAATATTTTTTGAATGAATATATTCAACAGCTAAAACAAGTTGACGAAATTTTTCTTTTGCTTTTGGTTCACTTAAACGTTTTTCACGAATAAGTAAATCTTTCAAAAAAAAAAAAAAAGAAACATTTTATTTCTTTCTTATTCAAAAAACAAAACAATAACAAGAATGATTATCTACCTAATAATTCACCATTAGCTGCATATTCTGTCACTAAATAAATAAGATTTTTTGATTCCATAACCTTGAAACAAAACAAAGAAATAAAAATCTTTGAAAATGAAAATTTTTAATGAATTTTACTTCATAAAGCCGAATTATATATGGATGTACTAATGATTTCATAACAATTATTTCACGTTCAAGTTTTTTACGATCACTAGGATCTAAACGTGATTTATCAATAATTTTAATAGCTACCTAAATATTTAATATATTATATATAAATAATTATAAATTAAACTTAAAATTTAATACTTTTTGTTGTGTATCACAATGTGTAGCCAATTTAACAACAGCAAAATTTCCTTTTCCGATTGTTCTATCAAGAAAATATTTTCCAATTTTCATTTGTCGATGTTGTTGTTGTTGTTGTTGTTGTAAATGATTTTGTGGTAAATTTATTTGTGGACAAGGTAATACATCTGATCTTAGATAACTATTTGAAGTAATTGTAGATGTACGTGAATGAGACGCTGATGATGATGGTGATGTAGATTTTGATGACATAGAAGAAATAGAAGGGAATAAAGTTGTTGGGATTGAAGAAGGAATTGACAATAATTGTGGCTCGCTAAACATCTGAAATAAAAAAGGAAAACGAAAAAAAATGACAACAACAATAGCGAATTTACACGAAATTTCTATTATGTGATATCTCTACTGTGTAATTATAGTGAACTTTACTCTAATCTTGGGCAAAGGAGTGCACAAAAAAAAACGAGAGACTAGAAGTTTCTTTTAAACAAAAGGAAAAAAAATGTAAATTAGACATTGTCATCGTCTGTGAAGGTTTTCATGTTTGCTTACATATGAAATTTTCGACAGTGTACCTATATATACTACAGAGGAAGATGCAAATCACCGACAAAAAAAAAGAATATAGTACAAAGGAAAAGTACGTAGGCGAACGTTTTCTCGTTGTTTTCAATGCGGTACTACTAGGAACATATATGTTTTCTCAACTTTTAAACCGGTGCTGTGCGTCATACATCGTAATACGACGACAACAAAATAGAAGTACAAAATATCAAATGACACCCAAAATGCACTTTGGAGAATTGAATACGCCTACATTTATGATTACTCAAGTGATATCCAGTTTGTCTAGAATTGAAGCCATAGGGGTATTAAGCCAATGAAAACATACCACCTATGATTTTCACCTGTAAATTTTTCTAGGTCAAACATATTGAAATCATCTATTAGCAATTACAAGGTTTTCTTTGACAAAGAAAAAACAAGAACATAAACAAGCATTATCAGATACGTTTTTTTATACTAGCTTGAGGGGAAAATACTCAGACTAGATCGTCTAGAATCATGGAATACTAATTGAAAAAAAATGTTTTATTGTTTTGTTTTTTTGAAACATTTAATTAAAATAAATTTTATATTTCCTGTGTTATGATTATCTTACCAAAAGACATTTTTTTTTTCCTAAAAAATATACAAAAAGAAATTAATAAATATTGTTGAAATAAAAAAATCTTACATATTAGATAGAATAAAACTTTTAAATATTTGTCAATTTCTATCCTATTTACCCATTTGTCTTTTAGTATTATTTCATTAATTACAAAACAAAGTAAAAAACAAATAAGGGGAAAAAACCATCTATAGACTCAAGCGTTTTATAAGCAAATCAAGAAAAATATTCAAGGTATGTTTGTTACCGTAAGCGCGTCCTTATATGAAAGAAGTACCTTGTTTGTTTCAATATGTCAATCAAAAAACAAAAAAACATCTGCTATTTTTCATCCAGACAACTGGCATGTAAATATGAATGAATCTCTTGTTCTGTTCTATTTCGCCTTTTAATCAAACAAAAACATAAGATATATACTAATATTAAGAATAAAAAAAAATGTTTTGTCTAGTCATTTGATAATAAGAAATATTTGAATTTAAATAAATAAATATATATATATTTGTTTTTGTTACTCATCATTTCAATCCTTATATATTGATGAGGATGATACTTTTTTTTTTTTTCTCACTCACTTAGTACCTTCTTGAACTTAAAGAATAGCTATCTGACACTAATGAATAAAAGAAAAACATAAGGTTAGTGTAATTCATTTAGAAAAAAAATTTTTCTTCCTGTTATCGAACGACAAAGAATAAAAGAAAAAAAAACAGAATGCTGCTTACTTTTTTTAGAAAACGTTCTACATTTTTTTTTTGTTTGATAATTTTAATTGAGTTTTTCAATGTTTTTTTTAAAAACAATAGAAAACTCTATAACGATCAAACATACTCTAAAGATAAGGCCAAAAAGTTTGTTCGTACTGGTGAGAAAAAGAGAAAAGAATGAGGTCAATATATACTATTTTTTTTTTGTTGTTCTTTTTCCCCCCAACGTTTTTTTCTTTTTCTTTAGATTCTTTATTGCTTGTCTACCAGCTTGCCTACATTCGTTTCTGTCTGTCTGCTCTCTCTGTCTGTGTGTCTCTTTCTTCTTTCTCAGCACACACACGCGTCCAAACACGCGCTAATAACAGTGCTGCCATATTGCCGAATTACTTTAAAGAGAAAAAACGATGATAATGAAAAACTTGACAGAACAGACAATAATGCGTGAGAGTGAGCAGACAAATAAGAGTAGAGACAGAAAGGGGAGGTGCATACACATAAGCATTCCAAAAAGTTTTCAAGAACAATGATTGGAGTAGAAAGAAAAATATAGAAAAAATAAAAAAAAGAAGAACAACAACCATGAAAATATATAATCATAACAGGATTGTCATCAAACCTGGAATAAGTATTTGTTGTTTGTTGATAATGAACATGTATGTGTGATTCAATATACAATTAATATAATTGAAATTTATTATGTGTTTTTGTTTTCTTTTAATATATCTAAATAACAAAAATCATAGACATGTTTAAACAATAATATAAATGAAAAAATATCTTTATTTTATTTAGAAAAATCTACCAAAAGAAAAACAAAGTAATGTTCAACATAAGGAAAAGAAAATAGTTTTACAAAAAACAAAAAAAAAAGAAAAGAAAGACAAAAAGAAAAACCAAATCTCTTTTATTTTGTGTGTGTGTATCTGACTTTCTCTATCTGACTAACTGTAATCATTTTCACCGGATTATTATAAACAATATAGGAAATATTTACATGAAAAATAACAAAAAAGGATTATATAAATAATCTATTCAGATCGATCAATAGTATCAAATGGATCACAATGAAATTGAACTATATTAGCCATACGATATTCAACAATCGAACGAATTAACCATTCGCTTCGAAGAAATTTTAAACCTTTATCAATACAACGATGAAACATATTCTAAAAAATAAGAATAAATATCATTTTCAATTTCTTATGTCTTACTCTTTGAAAAAAATAAATTTTTTTTTTTTTCTTATTGAAATATGAAGTTAAATATAGATTTCTTAGAATAGAAAAATTTTTCAATTTATTTTCATCTATAAAATTTTATAAATTATAAAGAAAAGAATTTAAAAAATTCTATTATTTTATTAAAAAGAAAATAGGAACTTATTTAGACTTGACATAATCCGATTAAGTTAGATTATATTTATCTTTTAAACAAAAAACAAAGTAATAAAATATGTAATATTCAACTAATATTATCAATGCTTAAATGCAAAGTTAACATGTTTTTTTTTTGACTCACATTAAACAAAACATATAATTGTCATGCATCAAAGTACATTATCGTCGTTCGTAGATTGACAAAACGCGTAAACAAGGATAACGCATGATACTTTTGTTTGTATTGTTTTGATCGTAATTAAAGCTTGTTTTTAATAATTATTATGAAGATTCTCGATTGTTTTTAAGGATAGACGATGGTGAAAATTCTGTAGTACAAAATATTGTTATTAATCATTCTATCAGAGATCAAATACAAGATACTAAAATGATCGACTTTCTATGACATTTTATCTTCAGAAAAAGTGTCTTCATATGAATGTGTCATAAACACAACTAAATACTGTTAAAATTCTCTTTCAGTTACAATTTCTCATAAGATTGTCAAAAATTATGCGCAACATTCGACATTTTGAGGAAGAAAAAAGTTTCTGACATCTTTCTTTCCTAATCAGTTAAGTATAATTATTATGCCAAAAACAAAAAAAGAAAAATTAATAATACGACTAAAACATTAAGTATTTAGGCATAATTGAAGTACTTATTGTCTTCGAAGACGACTAATGATATAAATGATGGGAGGAGAAAAATATTATTGACAATAAAGCATACAACCTCCGGATATGATCTTTTTTTAGAAGTTTAGTATGAATCAATACTACTGTTGAAAATAAAAACCTTTTGTTTCATTCATTTTCTATATTGTATTTTTTATTCATGACATGTAGATGTTGTTTATACCTTTAATTTAAGTATTTCATTTCAATATGATGGATGACTGATCGCGATTTGCTTCAATGAATATTTTTGGGTTTTTCAGTACGATTGACTAATATGATAAATTATGTCGGGTAACAAAATAAGTAAAGATTTTTTAACCTTTAGTTTTCATTAATTATATTTTATTGAATTTAATCTATCTTTCATTTTAAATTAAATCATAATTAATATAAACTGCTGAAATCATTGAGATTGAATAGATGAATACTTCTACAGAATATGCAATACTCTCAGTCATATTCAGTGCTTTTCTCTACACAATACAATGTGCATGAGGATAGTGCATATCGTATAGAACTATCCATAAATGTAATATAGAATTAAACGACAAAAGTAGAAAATTTTATCTAAGAATAGACAATTATCTATTATCGTGATTGTAAATGGAAATAATTAGAATATAGAATAATAATTTGTCTTAGTTCTCTATTTAAAATCGAGTATTTGTCTAATGAGATACTACTATCGAAATTTATACTCTTGAGATTTATTCAAAATAAAAATCTTATCTAAAAAAAAAACTCATGATGTATTTTAATTTTCATCTTTTCTTTTTTTTTGTTTATCAAAACAACAAAGAAGAAAAAATTAATATTTTTCTTACTTTATTTCGTATATCTTCATCTTCAATTAATAAAAAACATTGTCTTGGAAAAACTGTATTTGGAAATCGATTTTGTTCTATATAAATACCACCAGCTAACCATGCTAAATCACCTATTTCTGAATTTGTAAAATCTAAAAAATGTCGACTACTACCTTTGATCATAACTGAAAAAGAAAAAGCAAAAAAAAATGTTACTTCAAATCAATCTAACGAGAAAATTTTGCCAGATGTTAAGTCGCGTTTCAATCGAGACGAAATAAAAAAGAAAAACAGTTTTCAAGTTTCGACTTCAAACTTTGTTCGTATAAAGTTTGAAGTCGAAACTCTCACGTGACGTGAGAAGGAGCACAGCGTTTCGTTGACAAAATCCAATAAAATTTCGATATTTCAAGAACAAATGCTCGAAACATCAAAATCATGTTAGATTTTTTTATTACTCATGAAAATCTCATCAACTAAACATCATCTGGATTGAAAAGCAATTTGACATCTGGAAAGGTTCTCACATAAACTAAGTCAAGAACAATTATTTTCTTACTAAAATGATTTAATGGTAATAATGGCCGTTTTGATAAACGTGATCGACGTGGACCATTATGTTTTGTTGAAAATATATTATCACCTTCAATTTCATATTGTTCTTCACTAACAATTGTATTTTGTTGTAAACATTCAATAATCCAACGATAAGAAAGTATAAAACAATGTTGAGCAATAGCAAAAACAACATTTTTTGTTAATGTACATATAAGTGAATCATTATGATCAATTTCATCCGTAATTAAATGTGTTATTGTATGATTAAATGTTGTTTTATTATCAAATAATAATAAACGACAATTAAAAAGTAAAACAAATTTTTTTATTTGTTTCTAAATTATTTTTGCAAAAATATTAAATAAAAATAAAAAAATAAAAACAAACCATTTGTTGATGATTAAGACCACTTGTTGCAAGAATAATTGTTTCTGATTGTGTTATATTTGATAATAAAATATTATTATAAATTTGTTTTTGTTTTTTATTTTGATTTTCTAATAATCGATCATTAGATTTATTTCGACCTCGTTTACGAGATTCAACAGTTCGAGTTTGTTTATGAATTAAAAAAAGAGATGTTAATGCAGCTTTTACTTGTTCTTTTGTTAATTCTATTGAACCATTACATGATTCAATTGAAGAGAAATCTAAATTAAACAAAAAATAGTCCGTGAAATAATCTACAAAATCTAATGAACATAACTGTTCGAGTCCATAGAATCTAGATTTGAAAATTTTGAACTCGACAAGCTCTAGTCGTCTGAGATATGGGTAGGATGTATTGATCATTGAATACAAAAAAAAAGTATCTTCCATTATCGGGACGACAATCTGATTTCAATTAGAATATTTCATTGATGATATCAAAGTGGAGGTCGATCGAGTACGAAAATTTCGTACCCAATGAGCCCTAATGGTTGTAGAAAAGAGAAACTTTAAACTCATACAGTGTGTGTTCATAAATTCTGAATTTTGATGAAAATTCATTTATAAGCAGGCAGAGGAGGATGTCTAAGTAATTGTATCTATATATCCGATTTGAGCATTCAAGTCGACATATCAAATAACATAATACTAGATGACATTTTCTGATGTAGAAATAATAATATAAAAAGAAGAATATATTGTTCAATAGTTCGAAATAGATGAACTAGAGTTTTTATTAAGAAAAACTAAATGTTTGATTGACTTAAATAATAAATTCATTATAGAAAAAATGTCAATTAACTAACATGAATCTGTCCTCTATTACTTATTATACTTTGCCAATCTTTTAGGAATTTTACTAACTATTCTTTCGCGATTATGATAAGTTATGTTTTCTTCATTTTTTTGTTTAATTTAATTTTTAAATATATTAAATTTGAAACTTATTTTCCTCGTATTGTTTTCTGAAATATTTTCCGTAGATGTTTATTCAACAGACATAGCTTAAATAATTAGTTTAAAATTAAGGAAAGATATGGACACTATTCGAGAAAATGAAAATTTTTCATTTTGCACTTTGTTTTATTTTTATTTTTTTATTGAGTGAATAGTATGTATTTATATATTTTAGTTCATTTTGACATGTTTATTTAGAATGGTTAGTTCTCGTTTCGTCGAAAGCTTAATTGATTTTCTTGTTTCGTCGAAAAATTTTTTTTCGTGTGCTCTTGTTTCGTCGA